TTGCCATGAATTTGGTGTAGCATGGGCGCACCAAGATGGCGTGGTAGGACCCTAGAAAGTCCACCACTTCAAAGGTGAGGACCTCCGAGCGGAAGTTGGCCCGGCTACCGAATGTGATGGGCAGGTCGATCTGCTTGAGCGGGTATGCCTGCGTTCCTGGGATCACTCCGTGGAAGGGAGAGCCCGCTAGGCGGAGCTCCGATCAGGGGATGCACATGGCATCGAGGGTGTTGATGTAGAGGATGTTGAGGCCACTGCCTCCGTCCATTAGCACCTTAGTGAGGCGCTTCTTGCGGACGATGGGATCGACGACGAGTGGGTAGCGTCTTGGTCTTGCGACATGGGATGGATGGCCCCTCTGATCGAAGGTGATCGGAGATTCCGACTAGCTAAGGAAGGAGGGGACGGCCGTCTCAGCGGTGCATGCCTCCCTATAGCGTACCTTGTGCTAGCGCTTGGACCAGATGATGTTAGATCCGCCGAAGATCATGATGCATTCATCGGTATTGGGGAAACCGTCTCCGTCTTTGCCCGCTGTGCCTCCTTTCTTGGCTGCCGCCTCTTTGCCGTCCCCTTCTTTCAGCCCGTCGGCCTATCGTAGGAAACGTTTAAGGAGCTCGTAGTCTTTGTAGAGGTGTTTGACGGGGTAGGCGTGGTTGGTGCATAGGCTATCCATGAGTTTGTTGAAGTGGTCAGGTAGGCCCTGTTGGGGCTGCTTGCCCGTGTGGTCAGTTGCGGCGACCAACGCGGTGTTGTCCGGTCAGCGCCGGTCCTTTTTGTTCTTCTTGCCCCTCTGTGCGGAGGGGCCCTCGTCTTGGTCCGTGGGCTTGGCCTTGCCTTTGTCCCGGCCCCCGTTGAAGACCGCTCCGACCGCTTCCTCGCCGAAGGTGTGGTTAGTGGCAACGTCGAGCAGGTCGCAGGTGGTATGGGGTTTTAGGCATCCAAGTTTGTGGATCAGGGACTCGCAGGTCATCCCAGAGAGGAATGCGCTGATGACGTCCGCGTCGATGACTTTAGGCAGGGAGTTGCATCGTTGGGAGAACCTGCGGATGTAGTCCCGCAGGGACTCGCTGGGTTCCTGCTGGCAACTCTTGAGGTCCTAGGAGTTCCTAGGGCGGACATACGTCCCCTGAAAATTCCCAACGAAGACCCTCTTGAGGTCCGCCTAGTTGTGGATGCTGTCGTGTGGGAGCAATTCAAGCCATGCCTGAACATGTTCCCCGATGCAGATGGGGAGATACTGAATGATGAAATAGTCATCATCCACCCCTCCGGCTCGGTAGGCAAGCCGGAAATCTTCGATCCAAATACCGGGGTTTGTCTCCCTGGTGTATTTGGTGATGTTGGTGGGCGGTCGGAAGCACTGTGGGAATGGCGCTCTTCGGATACAATGGTTAAAGGCCCACGGCCCCAGGCCCTCAGGGCTGGGACTTCAGTTGTTCGGCCGGCGACTGTGCCTCGGGCGCGTTTCACCGCTCCCCTCGATGGTTCGGCCAGGATCCGTGTCGCCTGCTCTCACCGCCGCCCGGTGGACGTCATCATTGTGCTGGGCCCGATGCTGGTTGCTAATGACGCTACAAGCGTCCTGGTGCGAGTCGGGCCGCTCGTGTACTAGCGGTCGTGTGGAGTAGGCGCCAAGTCGGACCGAGGTGCGGATGCTGCCTCCCGAGCCGCACCTGGTGGCTATAGCGGTGAACAGATGGAGCGATTCGTCTGGCGCGTCCCTGTTCCCCCGGTGGGGAGAGAGGGCGTGTGTCGGAGTCGTGATGTGGAGCTTTCCGCCTGTTGAACAGCAGCGGCTTCTACTAGAACCCGGAGGTTCCGGTAGACTGCTCGCTCCTAGGGGTCGATGGGCTCGGGAACGCCACGCAGAAGCATCGCAGCAGCAACGATGTTCTGGCTAGCCCGAGTGAACTGTGGGGGTCGTTCCCTCGTTCATGATGTTGTGTTGGACCTGGCGGGCATGACCCTGGACGCCGCCCGCTGGGTCATGTGCATGGGGCGCAATGTGCTGTACTGAGCGTGCCAGCGCAGGCGCAGCGCAGGGCCCCCGCACGCGGGTCCAGAGGGGTGTGAGTCTGCACAGACTCCACAACCACCGGCGGCTGTCTTGGAGCGTCCGCCATAGAGCACTCTCGGGACGGACGGTGGCGAGGTGCCACGTCACCGATGCTGGAGCCGTCGCTCTCACCCTCGTCATCCGGGAGTTCGTGGAAAGTGGTAGGAGCATAGCTCGCGATTTCCACGAATTCAGATGTGAGGGGGATGGCGCCAGCATCCTTCGGAGCCCCCGAGCGTATGCTCCCACGGGGGACGCGAGGCCGTAGGGGAACCGATCGTTTGGTGTTCGTGGTGCGGTCAATGCAGCCCCTCTGATTGATCGGTGGGAGATAGTAAATAGAGAGTAAATAACAGTATGCATATTACTCACAGCGGGGTTTGAGCAGAGAGTTTGCTCGGAATAAAGCGTAGATGCCACGCCGTTGAAGTCGTGCGTCCCGGAGTCGATGGAGGGCGCCCCTCCGACGGGTGCCGGAATGAGTACCTCCTTGCGGAGGTGTAGTACGCCGAGCCGGTCGGCAATGAAGTCTAGTCTTTCGAGGAGGAAGGCCTAGGATGGCTCGAAGATGGCTGGAACCCACGTCCCAACAGGTGGGAGCATGGGAAACTCCAGTGAGCCGAAGCGAATTGTATCGCCAGAGCCCGCCATGGCGAAGGTGGCAGAAAAGTGGGCCATCCGATGACCAAAAAGTGTTGAACGTACAGAGTCTTCCCCACAGACGGCTCCAACTGTCGGTGCAGAAAGTGACCAACACGTAAATATTTGTAGTTTTGCCGTACGTTTGTGATCGAAGGTGGCCTAGCACTCAATGACACAGGGTTTATACTAGTTCAGGCAACGTGCCCTACGTCCAGTTTGAGTCGGTCGGTGACTTTATTCCTGAGCCCAAGTGCTTGAAGTTTGCAGTGGAGTTACAAACGAGAAGGAGAAAGATGGGGTGTACGAGAGGTCCGGTCGGAAGGGCCGAGAGCGACAGGAGCTCTACTACGAGCTAAGTGTTCAAGCGTGTGCTTGAGGTCCGAACCTGGTGGTTCTGTGGTTGTGAGCTAGTGAACTTGGTTGATCTAATGAATCTGGGATGACTTGAAGAGCTTGGATTGACTTTCGAACTGCCTATGTTGGAGGGAGCGCATCCCCTTTTATAGATGAAGGGGATGGCTTTATAAGTGAGAGGGAGAGGATACGTATGCTACTGAGCCTTGTTACCCACGCCGATGGGTACGAGATAATGGTAGACGCCCACAACACTGTTGATGCTATTGTTTGAGTGTCAGATGCATGTGGGAGGTGGTGTTGTCTTCTTCGGGTATGGCAGACGTCGGTACCTGTATATACTGTTGATGCTCAGAGGCATGTGAGGGGTTTCACCAGGTTCACCCGGTACGGTAAATCCCAACGCCCAGAACACTGTTAATGCCCAGAGGCATGTGGGTGGTGCCTTACCGTATGGGAGTTAATGGCGCCCACAATACTGTAGGGAAAAATGTCGGCGCCTACAACACTGTATGTGTCAAGGAGGCTGCAGAGTACTGTTTCTGCAGGCGTACAGGGTACGGTCCCTGGTATCGCGGTTTGACTTGTGCGCCCTGCCTTGCTTTCTCCGTTCATTCGCTGGTCCCTTCCGAGCGGGCGTCCCCGGTCGGTTGGTCCCAGTCGGCTCAGATTGCGCCAGTCGGAGGAGAACAGTGAGCAGGGTTTTTGTGTACCCCGGTCGAAGACGTGGGGTCGGAGTCGGAAGCGGTGCTTTGGCCAGGCCTTCCGGTCGGAGAGACCGTCTGGAGGCGGACGGAGACCGAAGTGAGCACTCGGGTCAGAGAGGTGGGCTGGAGTCGACAAGCGGGCGTTGTTCCTCCTCGGCCAGACCTTCCGGTCGGTGACTGGACCGCCCTTCTGGCCTGTTGTTCGGATACTCGGGCCGGCCCATGAGTTGCTTGCTGTCTGCTTTGGGCCGACCCTTTATTGGGAAACCGGTCCGCGAGGGACCCCGGATTTATGAACCTGACAATGCTAAACCCAGGTCATATATATATATATACACAATGTTATAACATATACATCGCTGCCAAGACACAGTTCCATAAAACACATCCAACCACAAGAATGGCATATTGTTTGAGAACACATAACCAAAACAAACAGGAATTACAGGGTGAAGAACATTAGCACCTTCATTACATACGAACGTGGTCTCCATCGAGATTCATGACTAGGTCCATAATGAAACTGCCAAGGTGTCCTTGCAACCCATGTGTAGTCGGTCAACACCGCTGTACCTTGACCATAGTTTCTGCAGCACAAGAACCACCGCTGTTCCTCACATCCTTGACAAATTGGTCTGCACTATATTGCTACCATGCATTTCCCTTATCTGGAGCTCACAACTCCATTGTATTTGAGATTTGGCATCACAAACATCTGAGGGAAGGGAAGCCTCCAAGTGGAGGCGAGTGTTGCTCTATGAGTGAACTATAACTATATTCACCTTACTTTACCAGTTTGAGCCTCTACTTTGAACTGATATGATTATTATTGTATACAAATCAAGGTTGAATTTTGTCTGACACAATTGCAATAGATCATGGTTCTACACTTTCTATCACACGTCCGAGACAGTTCGATAAGCGATTAATCTTTTATGGTAAACTAAATGGTAGATACAACTTAACAAAACTCAAGCAGATTAGTTAAGTTCAGAGGAGGCATGTTGCATCACCTCTATACTGCACCGCAATTTGGCTTAGTAGATCAGCCCATGACTCTTATTTACAGAGGAAATTGGTTCAATCCCTAATTCAGTGGAATACTACACGGTTATCGTGCATGGCAAGCAATCTCCTCTCCGGGTTATGGAGTGTCTTGGGCACAAACAAGACAGAGACAATACTTCATGATTATTACATATGCATATTGTACTAGAAACCTGGCTCTAAGTCAGCTCCTAGAGTTGATCGAGAAATGGATAATCAGTGTAACCAACCACCGGATCGGAGGCGTAGAAGGTGCTCCTGTCATACTTGTTCAGCGCGGCCTTCTTGGCAAAACGCGCCGGAAGGTCCGGGATGGCCAGGAATATCCGGCCGTACGCGATCAGGTCGGCATAGCCATGGGCGATGGCGGCGTTGCCTTCCTCACGGTCGTATCCTCCGCTAGCTATTAACGTCCCCTGAAACGCCCTCCTGAACGGCAGCAGCATCTGCTGGAGGGTCATCTTGCCGTCGTCTGGGTTCACCCGCATCCTAGGCTCTACCATGTGGCAGTAGAGCACGCCGAGCGGGTTCAGCGTCTTGTCGATGACATGAAGCCCAAGCGCCTCTGGGTCAGAGTCATGGCAGTCCATGTAGTCCGCGAACGGAGAGAGGCGCACACCCAGGTGGTCAGCGCTGACCTCGGCCGCGACGGCCGCCACCACCTCGGCGGTGAAACGGCAGCGGTTCTCCAGGCTGCCCCCATAGGCGTCGTCCCGGTTATTGGTGCTGTCCTTCATGAACTGGTCGAACAGGTGCCCGTTTGCCGCATGGATCTCCACTCCGTCAAAGCCGTTTAGTCACAAGAGTAGATCAACTGTTAGTAACTTTTTATTACTCGCTGCAAAATGCATGCATTAGCTCCGTCATAAATATAAGTATTTATAGATTTATTCTAAGTCAAATTATTCTCATTTTGTAGAGAAGATAATTGACACCTATCACATTAGAAAATAGTTTTACTCAAGGTCGAAACGATTTTCGCTTTTAAAGGCATATAGTTATATTAATTGATATCGCAAATATTATAAAAATAAGGCATCTAATTATGTTTTACTGTTATTGCAAATATTACACATCGGTTCTATGTTATAAGTCGTTTTGACTTTTCAAAATTCATAATTTTATTATAAAAATAAGTCATCTAATTGTTGGCCCTGTTTGGTTAGACTTTTGAATCTACTTTTGCTTTTGCAAAAGCCAAAAGCCAACAAATTAAATGAACTCAAAGGCTACAACTGCTTTAGACCAAAAGCTGATTTCGCTTTAGTATAAAACTGAAAGCAGCCCTCCCCTCCTTTCAGCTGCTTTTGGGGCAAAATATTACCCCACCTACCACTGGTTATGAGATCCAATCGTGCCAGTTTGAACACGCCCATCTTGTACGGTGTCAGCAGAGGAAGAGTCGGCTCCATCTCCTTCTCCATCCCTCGCAGTCGCAGAGGTTGCCCACAGCTGGCTAAACAGATGCTGATATACGATGTTGTTTGTAACTTCGTGTGGCGCCAGCTGCGTGTGCTGGGCATCAGCTGCACCCATCTTTTGTAGAGCGGTGCTGCGTGCCGTAAGAGGAGGCGGGGTTGTACTTGTCTTGTCTTACTGCAGGTTCCGTTCATACCAGAAGACAGCAGCCTGGTCGTCGATGCACCATCTGAGGACTAACTACGTGTCACCTGATCTGTCATCCATCAGAATTCAGAGTCGTACGTCGATCAGCTGGGGTGGATGATATAGCACGCAATTAAAACGGGCAAGAAGAAAGTCGCCGGGAAATAAGTGTAGCCAACAGAGAAAGATGTCAACTGGTTAAGAAAGAATGTCGCTCCGAAAAAAACATGGTGGCGTTTCATCAAAAAAAAACATTGTGGCCGCTATTTTTTTGAGCACGACATAAACTTTAGATATAAGAGATGACCATGCGATGAATAGCTATATGCGTGATCAACAATTATGAATAACTAGGCTTTCAGCTTGACCATAGCAACTTGACTTTCCTTAGAACCCTAACAAAAGTGAAACCGTTTTTCATCGTCTCTTCACTATACCGCTGTCGTACAATAGAGATATCATTTGTGTCGCTAGATGCCTTTAGCGAGTAACCATCGGTCGTATAATAGAGATATAAATTTTACCTACTGACATCTTTGTGCCACGCATGATCTAATGTGTTGAGTTTTACCGACTGGTGTTCCATTACCACTTTTACCGACCAACTATTTGAAGAAACATATTACTTTTACCAAGTGATGGTTAAATGTGATAGTTTCAAATGGATAAACAAATAAATATAATTCATACGTATATTATATTAGACACAATATTTAAGATTAATTTGGTATAGAGAGGTGCCCATAGAGGTGCTGCGTGCCGTAAGAGGAGGCGGAGTTTTACTAGTCTTATCTTAGTGCAGGTTCCGTTCATACCAGAAGACATCAGCCTGGTCGTCGATGCATGTGTGGAACCAGCCAGCGCAGGAACCACAAATACCATCTGAGAACTGACTACCTCGCCTGATCAGTCACGTGGACCAGCCGGGGTGGATGATATAGCAGAGTTAAGAACATCTCCAACAGCTTATCAATAATTCATCTCCAATAGAATGGTATTGGTGGTCACCAATTGTATTTTTTGAAATATTAGGGGAGGTGCTCTAGTAAATCACCAATAATCTTCCCCAATATATGGGACCCGCACGTCAGAATGGAGGATGTGGGAGAAAAAAGATGACAGTTGTTGTGATCCCAGCACTATTGGGGGAGATTCACTTGCCCTTTAATTTATTTGAGGGGAGAAGGAAGGTTTTTTTATGACAAAAAAAGAGAAAGCTATTGGGCTCGAGAAATCAAATTGCCTCAACTCCCTAATATGATAGTTTTATGAGGATGAGGGATGTTATTGGGGAGCTGTCGGAGATGCTCTAATGCCCTATTTAACACACCTTCACCAACAACTTTAAATCGTGAGCAGTTGTGAGTTGTTTCTTTTGACGAACGAGCTTTTTAGAACAATTTCATCCTTAAATCGTGCTCTCACATGTGAATAGATTGGGATGAAACTAAAAATAGTAGGTTTTCACAGCTTCATCTCACACATATGGGCCCAGTATGTGCAAAGACCGATATTACCCTGCTTTGGTCTCTGGGGGAGAGCGTAGGTACGAGGGCCACCGGGGACACGGCTTGCCAAGGCATGGGCGCAACGGCTTCCGATTGCGCGTCTGCCCGGGGCGCTGCCTGCCGAGGGCATGACGTGACAATGCAAAGGATGACGGGACGTGGGGGTGCTGGGGACGCAGCCACCGGCCATCGAGAAGAAAGGCACAAAGCAGGCTACAAAAAGAAAGAACCTGTGGGAAAGAGATGATGAAAAAATATAGAGGGAAATAAGAGCGAAGGGCATTAGGGTTAGGGTTTAATTTTTCTTTTTTTTTTGGTCAACCATGTAAAGCTATTTTGCCAAATGAGTCTCTTAAACAACTTTAACTTCACCGTGAAAGCTGTGCCAAAATAGTGTGCCAAAATAGTGTGCCAAAATAGGCCTAAAATGGGCAAGCAAGAAAGTTGCCGGAAAAACCGTGTAGCCTAGGGAGAATGATGTCTACTAGGTAGGAAAAAATGCCCGTGGTGGCCGCGATTTTCTTAAGCACCACAAAAACTCCGGATAGAAGAGATGGCCATTCGATGAATAACTAGGCCTTCAGCCTGTCCATAGCTTGACTTTTTTTTTTGAACCTATAGCTTGACTTTATTTAGATTCCCAGCAAAGTCAAACCGTTTTTCCTCGTCAGTTCACTATACCACTATCCTATAACAGAGATATCATTTGTGTGGCTAAAAGCCTGTAGCGAGTAATAATCAATCGGTATAAATACTTCCCAACTCCTTTCAATGGATATAACTGCCGTCTGTATAAAGTTGTACCGATCCACCCATGATATGCGTTGAGTTTTACCGATTGATGTTCCATTACCACTTTTACTGACCAATTTACCAAGTGATGGATAAATGTGATCATTTAACATGGACAAACAAATAAATATAATTCATACACATTTTGTATTATATTAGACACAATATTTAAGATTAATTTGTTATATCCACGTTAAGGCATTCATCACAACTTTGATTCATTCATTTATGTTCAAATCTAGAATGTCAAAATGAATATCAATCATCACTAGATACTAAATACACGTCCTTCAAACAAAAAAACAGGCATTTATCAATAATTCGGTATCTTGATTGCTGGCTCGCTGCCAACCAAGTTGTTGCCGAGTAGTTCCTAGTTGTTCATGAAAATAAAAAATTGCCATTGTAGTCAAAGGGATCATACAATCCTATGTTCTCAATGCATAGAAACAAAGATAGTAAAGTGAATTACGCTATGAGTCCTTAAACTTTTCCATACTTCTCACCTAGGTCCATTAACTTTTTTTCGCTTGTTTGGGTCCATAAATTTGTCTACGTCCTAGCCACCATCAAAGGCAGGAAACATAGGACTCGGCTGTCTATGTGGCATCAGACGTGCGAGGATATGGTCATGTGCGGCGCCACGGTGTCACCATGCACTATGCAATACTATTCAAATGAGTCTCGCGTTTACACCTAGTGCCCTGATTTTGTTTTTATTTCAACTCTGCAGCCCTCCTCCCAAATCAGAACAAGGCAAGCTGGTGGCGGGGCCGATTCTTGCCGGTAGGGGCATCCGTCAACAGCGAGCAGGCGCTTAAGAACCAGCGTGCCCACGCGCACCGATAGGTGGTCGAAGCATGCGCGGAGGCGGCCCAAGGTCTTCCGGCCACAGGCGTTGGCGACCTAAAACCGAGCACCACGACGGCAAGGTGCTCCGACGGCGGAGGATGGGGAAAGGGAGGAACTAGACTTGTGAGACTGAGGAGGAGGCAGTAAAGTGCTTGGCTCCGGCGAAGGAGCACCAGGGAGGCAGCTCTGGACTACGCTCTAGCGTGACCGGAACAGTGCTGTGCACCGAGGCACGGCGGTAGAATTATTCATCCTAGCGCGGACTTGCCTCACAAGAGCGTACATGGAGGTAAAGTGACATGACAAACCCGACAGTGGTGTTGATCAGGCTAGAAGCTTGCCGCAGCAGGAACGAGCAGAGGCGGAGCTCGGCCCAGCGCCAATGGCGCGCGCAACCGCGAAAATAGAGAGAACGAGAAAAAGAGGGCGAGAGTGTGTGCGAGAGAGAGCAGAGGTACCGTGCAGGTGACGGCCGATGACTACAACGCGTGGGTGACTATCAGGTATAGTGAAGCGGCAGTGCTCGCCCATGGCAACCTACGCGCGAGGCCCGCGATGGCCTATGTGCAAGGTGGAGCAGCGGCTCCCGCACACGGTGGCCACGCACTCGCTGGTTGTCATGCGCTCACTATCATCATGTGCTCGCCCATGGCAACTGGCAACACTGCTGTCATGAGCTCCCACGAGGAAACCGCCGCGTGCTCGCTTGAGGACATTGCCACCCTCGCCGGTAGGACCACCACTATAGCGCGCTCGCCCGAGGACACAGCCACCCCGAGCCTAGCACCGCACGAGCGTTCTCTACCTGGCCGTCATCGAGCATTGTTCTCATTCCCATGATCCACGAGATCCGCCGCCGCCGCCAAAAGGAGGATGAGGCTGCCGCCATGACTAGAAGGAGGATGAGGGCGCCACCACCACTAGAAGGAGGACGAGGGCACCAACACCGGTATCCTCTTCCTTAGTGCCCCCGCCAATGAGGGAGACAGAGAGAGGAGACTAAGAGAAGAAGTGATGAGGACATGGCACCTATGGATATGCCTAGGAAAGTTAAAGACAAGGTGAACTCATTCATATGTTTACATAATGATAAAACTAAGAATTTGTTACTACCTAATATCGGTATTTCAAATGTGCTTAGGAATGATGGTGATGATGATAGAGTATGGATATGTCATGAACAAGACCGATCTTGGAGTGCAAGCTTATCAAAGTCCAACATTCGGTTCGTCGACAGCCCGATAGTGCTTCATAGCGAAGGCCATAACTCATCCATCTGGAGTGCGATTGAGGTCAATTAGCACTTGATGAAGAGCTTATTTGATAAGCTTTCAAATAGATCTAGTCCCACCTCAATATCACGTTAGCAAGGACTCAAAATTATTAAGACAAGCTATCGCTATTTTTGCCAGGAGCTGTGTCATCACCATGGGCCTGATATTCACCCTTAGGACCCGATCCCAAGTTGGAGCATGCCCCAAGGATATGAAGAACACATCAAGGAAGCCCTTGGATGTCCTCCTCCTTAGCCACCTCCTTAAGAGGCCAGTAATGTAGTGGAACCATCCAATTTATAAGAGAACAAGTACAATAGCAACCCGTAAGCGGTCGCACTGTCGTACTTGAGCCCATATAAACCCAGTAGTCCGTCGAGTACCACGAAGGGT